ATGCAAAAACGCATGATCGCACCGGCTCGCCTGGTGCGTTCCAGCCTTTGTTGCATTTGCATATAAACAAACACGCATAAATAAGCACAAATCTAGAAACAAATTCAACTTTTGAGCTCCAAAAAATGTACTAGCTTGCAGTTTTTTAGCTTACTAGTGGAACTTTGATGACAGGGAATACATTTTGAGTCAACTGAGTTTAACGAGGTACAGGGGCGGAGGAAAGAGGTGAGCGCTGGGCGGAGAAGGCACGGCGGTACAACAATTACGGCTGTGTGTGTTCGGTTCGGATAGCCCTTGCCAGATTAAAGAGTTGACAAAATTTTTGATTTGCCCATTGCGATATCTTTGTCCGTGTCTGCTTTGAGAGACTTTTGCGTCAGTCTCACTTTCACTGCTGATGCGATTATTCCGCTTCAGTTTATTTATTGAAATGCTGAAAAATTCCTAGCTTCCGAACGTTGTCGTTGATACCATTCACCACTGCTCAACGTCTGTTCACCCGTTTTCGCTAAAGCGAGAAACTTTCTTGCATATGTTTATTGCTTTCCTGCGTATACACAGCTTTCGATTCGTGTTGCGCAGCTTCGAATTCAATATCAAACTTATTCTTGGCTTCCGAAAAATTCAAGATTCTTTCGCCTTTTGAAAATTTGAGCTTCGCAAAATCCGCAAATCCTGAATACGACTCTGCGACTAATGTGAAATCATTACATTTTTATGACACTGTCCAAGTTGACTGATCCTCAGCCTTTTTTGTGTCGTTTGCTTTTTTAAGCAAGTGGCACTGTTGGGAGCACATTTCACTGTTTCGGCTGCTCTTCCAAAAATTCATTTTACTTCCCCAGCCAGCACTGTTACTGATTCTTTTTCGTGATCGCCCCGAGGAATCAAATCCACTCAAGTTCGATCCTATTCATTCGATTCAACTCAATTAATTCAGTTTCAATAAATTTAAATTCCACTTAGTTCCTCGGTGCTTCTTTTGCTCCTGAACTGCATTAGCAGCAGCCCTGAATTAACGACGCTGAAAGCGATCCATGGAAAAAAGCAGCCCGCTGCTTATCCGTATAATTAGCATCTTGGTATCCTGGCAATGTTCAAACGAAGGCGAAAGGTGTGTGCCGTCGTTCATCAAGTACCTGCTTGAAAGATATTACATTCGCCTTTCCCGTCGTTATCGTCGTCGTCGTCGCCGTCTTCACCGCTGCTGTCATCCGTAACTCACCTCCCGGAGAGGGCGTGCCGTTCGCGCACTCCATGCACCGGTGGTTATTGTCACCGTAGCTGAATGCTAGCGAACAAGCAACCGAGGCGGTTTTGTCCTTGCATTAGCATCAGCAGCACCTTCGCCATCGTCGCCGCCGCCGCCCAAGACGTCGTATTCCTTGATTGCAGCGGCGGTTGAAGCAGTAGCAGCCTGCCCCGTCCCGTCGTCCAATACCCGCAGTGCCCCGTGCCAGCACGCTAATTCCAGTTTTCCGCAAAAAGCTGCTATTTGGTGCGCTTCTTCATGCTTCCTTCTGTTTTCGTCTTCTGGTGCAGCTGCTCAAGCTTGCTGTTGCTGTAAATCCAGGAGAAGCACTGCTGCTCAGTCACTGCCGCTTTTCTGATCCTTCTGGATTTCAGCGCTGCTTCTTCGTTTCTCCCTTATTTGCCCTGCAATTTGGACGCTGCATCAATCAAAAAGCTTAGGGCAGCGAGCAGCTGCTTCTCGAGTGACAAAGCCGAAACAGGCACAAATCTCCATGCTGCCTTGGAGCTGTAAAATATCTTAGTAGATTTCCAATCTCTTGAAATTTACCAGAACTAAACCGCAGCAGTAGTTTCGCGGATAGCTTGCACAGGTAGAATCCCAGATCTTCTACTTCTGTTTTGCTCTCAGCTATTTCTTCTGAGTTGCTGCTGATTTGTTAATTACACTGCAAAACGTCCTTCATCTGCTCGACGTCTCAAAACTCTCCGGGCTGTCCACAAAAGAATGCCCAGAGTAGCAGGGCCGGTCACCCTGATGGTGGCACTGGCACCACTCCTGGGGGAAACGTTGCTGCTCGTCAACAGCACAATGCCGCTGCTTCCGGGGATGGATGTAATGAGTAGCAGCAAGTATCCACACATTGGCATCATCGAACGGGTTTCCCGAACTGAGCTGAAATGGCATCGGCATCGACGACAAGTGATTGCCGGCCCAGTTTATGAGTGGCATTCCTATGAGATTCCATATACCATATGGGGTGGCGACTGTAAGTTTTACCGCTATTCATTCTACTATTTCCAGTAAGTAGTCACTGATCACTTTCAAACGTTCGAATGGCTTATAGATATCAGACACAGGTCCTTTTTTTATTTAACTTTACGGCTTTTTTTAATAAAAAAAAGCCAGCACTTTGATATTTTTAACATCACTGTAATTCCACACTTTGAAACAGCTAGTAGTTCACCATTTATTCACATTTGCAACTTTCTCAAATAGCTCAGCTAACAACCGTGCCATCAACTACGATCTTGCACTTCCCGCATCTAAAGCACACCATACATTCATATTATTGCTAATTTTTATAGCGATAAGTAGCTTGGGAACGAAGGACCTCGCATACATGTGCCTAACTATAGGAGCATTCCAGTAATTTCAATAAAATCGAATACTCATTAAGATTTGTTGGACGACCTAAGTGGTCTTAAAATCTGTGATCTGTATTATTTAAACACAACACTAATTCTTAAGTCGAAGTGCTTCCCACTTCACTATGATAAATGTGGTTGGAGTGTCACTCGTCTTTCCTGTCTAGAAAAAATTTTAAAAATGTTTCACAGAGGCCGTATTGATACATTTTTATGCATTTTGTGCTGTGTAACGGTAGTACAAAACGCATATTGTCACGGGGCTGTCTGTGTGTGTTTGTGTGTGCGCGCATGTGTCCGCAGCAACTTGTCCGCAATTTTCAACTACGAAAGCTAGGAAGCTGAAAATTTAGGAGATTGTTCCGTACTCACGTGCGACCCCGCAAGCTTAAATTTAGTCTCTTCCTACCCCCAGGTAACATGTACGGCCCCGTAAAGTTCGGGCGGGTAAAATTATTATCATGGGAACCACGGAAGCTAGAAAGCTGGAATTTTGTGGGCATGTCCCCCACTCATGCGCTACTCAGAAAATTTAAATTCAGCTTTCCACTGCACGCGGGTAACATGTACGGCCCCGTGAAAATTTTTGACGGGTAAAGTATTATCCCGGGAACCACTGAGTTTAGAAAGGTGAAATTTTAGGTTTGTGACTCCTGCCCATGCACGATTTGCAAATTCAAATTCAGCGTTCCCGCACTCTCGGGCATCACTTACGGACCCGTGAAAATTTTTCGAGGGTAAATTATTATCTCTGGAACCACAAAGTCTACTAAGTCAAAATTTTGAGTTAACGACCTCTTGCCCATGTGCAACCTTGCAAGTTTAAAATCAGCGTTCCCGCGCTCTCGGGTATCACTTACATCCTTGGGGAGATTTTGGCGGGCAAACCATTGTCTCGGGGATCACGGAAGGATATTCGCCCTTCAAGGTTGCAAATTCAGCTTTCATGCGCCAGTGCGTGAAATTTTTAACTGTTTTTCAACGTTTCAACTATTTCTGCAGAAACTAAAGTACAAAACAGTGAAAATCATTAATAGACAATCGTTCGGTGGGAGGAAATGCACAAAACGTATGATCGCACCGGTTAGTCTGGTGCGCATTGCTATTTTTATGCGTTTTTGCTGTGCAGCGCTATAGCAGC